CTTATTTGAACTCCAAACTTTTTGTGTGTTCAAAATGCACCATTCATAGCCACATTATCAATTTTCAACCCTTTCTTACTTCATTTGTTATTTTTCATGCAACCATTTTGCTTGTTTGCCTCAGCCACTTCGAGAAACATAATTATGTGTGTCTGTCATCGTACATCCATTGCCGGTTCATCTGCTTGCATTATATATAATTGTGTGTGTCAAAAACCATTACAGAATCACATGGATAGATAAGTGACCAAATTAATAGAAGTTCATCATCACATTAAAATCAAAGTACATACATAGTTCAAATTGAACAACATATAGCTCTCCAGAGCATCTACTTAGACCATACATTGGAACTATGTAAATCCTTTCAATGCAACAACAAATGCGATCATAATCACAACCAAGGTAACAATTGATCCAACGGCATAATGATACCAAGCCTCGGTATGAATGGCATATTTTCTAATCTTTCTCATCTTCAACCGCATTGCATTCATCTTGATCTTGTGATCATCGACGACATCCGAAACATGCAACTCCAATATCATCTTCTCCTCCTCAATTTTTTTTATTTTTTTCTTCAAGTAATTATTTTCTTCTTCAACTAAATTTAACCTCTCGACAATAGGGTCGGTTGGAATTTCCGGTTCAACTACCTCGTGCATAAATAAAATCCATGTCACATTGGTCGGCATAATTATCATAAACAATAAATGAACCAAATAGTTATAAAAAGATAATATATACCACATCTGAATCATAGCTAGGACGAGGGCCAACGGGGGCGGATACCAAAACCATCGCACTATATAATAACAAGCAATAATGAAAATAAGAAAATTAGACAAGCATATATCTAAAGTAAGAATATTTTTTCTTTCAGAAAGAAGATAAGAACAAGAGGCTCACCACGGTGGTGCCGGCGACGAGATCGGCGCAGGCGATCGACGGCGGTGAAGACAGGGACAGGACATGACGGACCGCTAAACCTATGCAAATCTTAGAGAAAATGGAGTTTGGAGGTCGAGCTTCGAGAGAAGAAAGCTTAACTAGTGTGGCTCGGGCATTTCATCAAACACCTCATGTGCATAGGAGGTGAGCTAGAGCACCCAAATGCCCTCCCCTCGCCGGCTAGAAAAAACAAAGCACTGTGGAGTGCTCTGCTGCGGCGATGGGGTATATATATAGGCAGCTCATTTGTCCCGGTTTGTGGCTGGAACCGGGACTAAAGCTCCACCTTCTGTCCCGGTTCGAGCCACGAACTGGGACCAATGTATGTGGGCCAGGAGCGAGGCCCATCGGTCCCGGTTCATGCCTATAATCGGGACAAATGGATCCAGATGAACCGGGACCAATGCCCACGAGGCCCCGGCCGCCCCCCCCCCCCGGGCTCACGAACCGGGATGTATACCCCCATGGGTCCCGGTTTGTGACTGAACCGGGACTAATGGACTGGCCAGGTCCGAACCAAAGCCCTGTTTTCTACTAGTGGCTAGACGTGCCCTGAAACTGAAGTCTCACTGTTGCTTCGCCATTCGCCGTCATACACAAATGATGTTATAGCGTTTGAAGTTTTTTTAACACGGGACAAACGTAAGCACTTATATACACGCGCATACACTCACTCCTATGGACGCACACATGCACACCCTACTTCTATGAGTACCTCCGAAAGACTGAGCCGGCATATCATCTTGAAATTTACGAAGTCACCGTAGGCACCTCGTCGTCGACGGGAACGTCTCCTCCCATTAAATACGCATCGTTGAAAATTCTAAAATAAATCCAGAAATAAATGTGAGCATCAGGATTTAAACCTCGGTAAGCTAAAAATATCACAGTCCTCCTAACCATCCAACCAGGGACGGAGCTACAGGGTGGCCAGGGTGGGCCGTGGCCCACCCTGAGATTTTGGAGCAGCCTATTATACCTATGGATATTTAACTGGGCCAAAAAAATAGCCCAATAATTTCCGCTGCGCACGCATTCAGCCACAGCCCACAACCACGGCCTCGTTGGCTCGTTCTAGATCGCGCCAGCCAGTCCCGATGCCAATCCGACGACCGATGCCCTCGCCTCATTGCCGCGGCGCCGCCGTTCCTCATGGCCTCGCCGGCTCGCCGGTCGCCGGCTGGAGCCCAGGCCGCCTCCCCTTCCTGCCCGGCGCCCCTGGCTCTCGTCTCCCCTGCGCCCCCCGCCCTGCCCTTCTGCCGTTCTGCACCGTTGACCCGAGCCGCGGCTGCCTTGCCCTGCCGCCCGCCCGTCCCCTGCCTTCGCCCCCTCCGCCCTCCCTGCAAAGTCGGCGACCGTCGGTGCCGCTCAGCAGCCAGTCTCCGGCCGTCCGGTGGCAACACCGCAGCAAACATGCAAATCAATTTAAGGTACTGAAACCCCCTAATTTTTTATTTAGGGTTTGCTTTTTGCACTATGCTATCATGAATTGATGAACACATACATAATTTTGGACATCATTTCTGACTCAATTAGTTTTATTGATAGAAAATAAATTTTATTGCAGGAATTTTGAAGAATGAAGAGGGCCGGAAACATTGTTTCTCTTTTCTAGAGAGAAGCTATGAAGATAGGGAAGAAGAAGGCAATGAATTTGTCAAATGTGGCCGAAGAGCAAGCCAGAGAACTTGTGTGTATGCTGGTTGTGATTGAAGAGCAAACTCAAGAACCAACAATGGCTATGTCAAATATGGCCGAAGAGCAAGCCGAAGAACTTGTGTGTAGGCCTTGGAAATCTTGTTGATCTCTAGGTTAAGCTTGTTCAAACAGGGAGACATATAGTTCATCATTTGGTGTACTTGCTTCTAAAATTGGTATTGATTCTACCGGTGGCAACAGGTAATGTTGAGAGAGCATTTTCTGCCATGAGTATAGTCAAGAGCAAGTTGAGAAATAAGATGGGTGATAGTCTTTTGGATGATTGCCTAGTCACATACATTGAGAGGGATGCTTTTGCCGAAGTGAAGGAAGATTATATAATTGATACTTTCATGGCAATGCAAAAGCATAGGCCACAAATATAGTCTTTTCGAGCTTCTGAAGGTATGTACTATGGTCTATATAGTATGCACTATGTATGCTTCTCTATGCAAAACTTAGACTTAATTGAGAATTTTAGTGTGTTTGTAAGACCATATTGTGATATTAATCTATTTCTATGTGATATTGGTAAGTAGTTAGAACGCCCAAATGTCATATTTCTTGTTAAATTTTTTTTGTAGGGCCGGACCACCCTGATGTCAAATGCCAGCTTCGCCACTGCATCCAACCACGGGTTGGTTCGTTATAGCTTTCAAAGTTATCACCTGCAAAGTTGGCGTAGTGGAGTGCCTATTCGTCACTCGCCGCCATATAAAATGTTATCACCTGCAAAGTTGGCGTAGTTCATTTCAGAAATGCAGGAAATCCACGATTCCAATCTAACGTACGAACGCCAGCAGCCATGTCACGTCTGCTAGTGGAGGTGTCAAAAATATTCCCCGTCGTCACGTCAAATTGCCCGGCCCCAAGATTGGGGGACTGAGTTTTGCTTCTGAGTTGTCCAAGAAACGTCCCCTTTTTTTTCTTTTGGTGAAAGTCATTATGACAGTGTATATTTTTTTAACATAGTACAAACGCAAGCGCTTAATTATATACATGCGCATACACTCATCCATATAAACGCACACACGCACACCCTATTCTCATGAGCACCTTTAAAAAACTGAGTCGGCGTATCAGCTTGAAATTTACAAATATTAATTGAAAATAACAGTTACGTCATCCGTCCAAGTCAAAGTTTTCGTTCCCCTCCGCATGTTTGGCTAAATCATACGCGGCTCTATTGGCCTTTCTTAGACAATGATGATTAAAAACAACTTAAGTAAATTCCGACAAAGGAAGGTGCATTCCGCATACTAGATGGCTGCCACAGGTCCAATAGAATTGCCACCATTTTGCATGACCTCGGCAACATCCATACAGTCAAATTCGACCAGCATACTCCCCGCAAAAGAGAAGGGAAATCGACAAGTATACAATTGCATCCCACGTAGCAGCGTCATGTTTGCCTCACCCATGAAGTCATGTTCACTTTCTCCAGCTAGGTGGCGTTTGGTTCTGAGGCTATCCCTCAGTGGGATAGGGATAGCCAGATTTTCAGGGGATGCCGTATGTTTGGAAGGAAGGATGTAATGGCTGGGGATAACCCGATTTAGCGAATATTCCACCGAAAACTTAGCTATCGATAGCCGCGAGAAACTGGCGGACCAGGGCAGCCACCCACCCGCGCTGAAGCGTTTTCCTCCTCTCTTTTTTCTGTTCTCGCCTCTCCCACGGCAGCGGCGGCGATTCCGGATCGGAGCGGCAGCGCTTGAGGCGAGTCCGGATTGGAATGGGGGCGCTCGAGGACCCGGAGAACGGAGGCGCCAGCGGCAAGTTACATCGGTGCCGGCGGCTGTGTCATACAAATATGGACGGTGTAGCTCGATCTCTCTTTGTACCAGATCTGATTCATCTTTCCCTTTCTCTGAAGCTAGCACGTCGGAGCACCGAGCCGACGAATAGAATCAGCAAGCCAGCCCCGATTTGATACATACTACTGATCTGTGTTAATCCATGTCATACACTACTGGTCTCCCCTTTGATGTCTGTTTGATACTAGTACTGAGATAATATAAAAGCCTATCTATCCACTTCTCATCCTTCCATCCAAACAACAAAATATGGCTATCCAACACAACTAATCCCATTCAACCAAACAATCATATGTGGTTATCCCTAACCAGGTGGCTGGGGATATCACCAGCCAACCAACTTCGCCCTCGAACCAAACGACCCCTTAGTGGAGGCGGCTAGGCCTGCAACGTCGACAGCTTATTTTGTTGCACTTTCTGGTTTCTGCGTGCCTTCCAGTCCTATCCGGCTATATATAAATTCAATACCCAACAACCAACGACAGACAATCCTCTCACCCAAGCCAGCCACATAGGAGAAGCGAGAGGGTTAGCATGGCGGTTGACTATGGGAGCAGGGAGGAGAGGTGGAGCCTGGCCGGCACCACCGCGCTCGTCACCGGCGGTAGCAAAGGGATTGGGTACGTATATCCACACATGCATGCATTCACGAACGCATGCCTCTCTTAATTCTACACAAGTGCAGCAAGTACTCGTAAATTACTTCCTAGTCTTAATTTGTGCTAGGCATGCCATCGTGGAGGAGCTTGCCGGGTTTGGGGCGAGGGTGCACACCTGCTCCCGGAATGGGGCGGAGCTAGAGGAGTGCCGTCGACGGTGGGAGGAGAAGAACCTGCAGGTCACCGCCTCCGTCTGTGATGTTTCCATACGTGCCGACAGGGAGAAGCTTATGGAAACAGTCCGAGAAACTTTCAATGGCAAGCTTGACATACTAGTAAGTATATTAATAATTTTATTGGTATGTCTAGAGCATAGTGATATAATTATTGCATATCTAAGTGACTCAATCAAACTAGAAAGAAAGAAAAAAGCTAATGAAAATGTTTACACGAATCTTCACGTAAAATCAATGATATAGGACTTAGATGTGCAATACTTATGGCACATTTAGATGTACTTTAGAAAAACTGTAACTCATAATCTATTAAGATAGTAAGGGGAAATACATAGGAGTGCCTGGGTGCTCCACCCCCTATACGAAAATTAAATTTGGAAAATAACAGGATTTTTTTAAAAACTAAAATCTTTGTATCTCAATCTTGGGTGCCCAATCTACTCCCGTATGAACTTTTGTAGAAAAATACCAGAAAATTTATATGTGGCGAGGAAAATACAGTCCAAACTAAAATCCACCCAACCAGTTTTTTTCTATAGATATGAGTTTTTTTTTGTCTTTTTTGGTATTTTTTCGCGAAATTTCACACGGAAGTAGATTGGGCTCTTAGGTTTCATATCCCAAAACCCCCAAAGAATTCAAATTTATCGGTACTTTTTTTTGAACTTAATGTTCATACGGGAGTATGGAGCACCCAAGTGCTGCCAATTCTTTTCGGATAGTAAGCTCCTTCAATTTTGGTCCTCCTGGTGCAGTGCCGGCTGTGGGGGCGCTATAGGCCTTGCCTGTAAGGGTGTGTTGATGGTTGAGGTTCCTATTTTTTTTCTATTCTATTTTTAAAATTTATTTTTCCATATTCTAATTCATGAATATCTATTAAAAATTGTGAACATTGTTTAGTCCCTAGATAAATTTTAATTTGATGAACATTTTTTAAAATAATATTTTTAAATTTTGTGAATAATATTTGAAATACATGAATATTTTTAAAATTTTAAATTATTTTCCAAAAATTCAAGTATTTTTAGTCTACAAAATTTAAAAATATATATTTTTGAAAAATCCATGAATATCTTTTGATTTAACAAACTTTTTCAAATAAAGAAAGACAACTGGCCTTTTATAAAATTGTAGGGGAGCAAGCCAGTGGAGCAGGGAGGCGAACTGAGTGAGCGAGAGGTTTGTGGGTTGGCTCATGTGGATGTTACAGCAACAATTCAATTCCATGGTTTCAAAGTAGAATATGAGCTCCCAAGGGAATCACACACCGACCACCAGTCGACACCGAGGTCAAAATGTTTAAAGATGCCACAACTCCACAACAAACAACTCCACTCTCCTCTTAGAAGAAATACCGTCTCTAGCAGCACCCCAGCACAATATACAAATGAAAAAACACCACCAAAACATAATTAAAACCCAGCCAACATTCATAAACTAAAATGAAACAGCCGGCCATAATAATCTGCTAGAGAAAAAATGACTTAATCCCATGAGTGAATAACGGTGTTGCGCAGCGTGCATTAGCCTTTAGTAATAATAAGATACTAAGCTCCATAAATTTGGAGCCTCCTGGTGCATCGGGGTAGTAGGGGACGCTATAGGCCCCACCTGAAAGGGTGTGTGCCGTTGGGCCAGCCGGGTTTTCGGGTTTTGAGAATGTATTACATGATTTTTTTTGTGTTTTCAACAAAAATGTTGTTTTTATTTTGGTTTTCCCCGCTTTATCCTTTTCCTCTTTGTGTGTTCATTTTTCCTTCTCTTTTTTATTCTTTCACATGCTATTTCATGAATATTTATTAAAATTTGTGAGCATTTAAAAGGACTATGAAATTTTTCTAGAATTCATGAACATTTTTTTAATTCAATTTTTTTTAATTCAAGAATGGTTTAAAGCTTCACCAGCATTTTTATATCAATGAACCTTTTTAAAATTCATGAACATTGTTTGAAATTCATGAATATTTTAAAATTCATGAATACTTTTTTAAATGGATGTCTTTTTAATTCACAACATTTTAAAAAATCTAATAATTTTTACAAAATATGTGAACTTATTTTGCTTTAATGAACTTCTTCAAATAAAAAAATATGGTATCCATTTTTTTCTGAACCAGTAGAGCGGCAGAAAAAAGCTAAGGGAGTGAGCTAACTTAGAGAGAGCTTCATGGGCCGGCCCATATGAGCGTTATAACAATAATTGCACGGTCACAACATCAAATAAGACCTCCAAGGCCGAAATATGTAAGGACTCCATCACACACCTTACAACTCCACTCTTATTTCAGTACCATGTCCAACAACAACCTAACATGATAGACAAATGAAATAAAAATATAATTAAAACCTAAGGCAGTGTAGACAAAACCATGACATAAAAACCAACCACAATAACTTTTCCTCGAGAAAAAAGAGTTGATCCTATGAATGAAGAACGACGCAGCGAAGCATGCATTAGATTAGCCTCTAGTAAATTCTATCCATAAAAATTAACCATGTGACATGCTCGTCCTGCCTATAACTAAGAGAGGCCCAGCTCGCTCTAAGTAGGGTATCTGTAAAGGATCGTTTTTGTTGAATTAATTGTTGTCACTATATATGTAGGTGAACAATGCAGGGCAATTGCTCTTCAAGCCCACTACTGAATGTACAGTGGAGGAATACTCAAATCTGCTAACCACCAACTTGGAGTCGAGCTTCCATCTCAGCCAGCTCGCACACCCTCTTCTCATACACGCTTCTATTGCCGGAGGAGGCAGCATCATCAACATGTCCTCCATTGGAGGCTCAATCGGCTATGCAGGCTCCGCAATTTATGCTACCACAAAAGGTACACATGTACTGGCCAAGATATACAATATATTATTAATACAGTATAATGGATATTTGTAGATGTTGCTAGTTATAGTGTGATTTTTTTAGCAATAACACTATATATAACGGTATTGAATGCCCTAATGTGTCTCTTTTAGTTACAGTTCGATTGAATGTATTGTCACGAAAAAAATGTAGAGCAGAACCTCGTCTTGTCTCGCCCGCTCCCGTGAGTGGGGAGGCCACCTTGCGCCGCCCACCTTCAACCTCCCCGGCCCCTCCCCCTCCCGCGCCACCATCGGAACACGCCGTCAGGCAAATCCCGGCCGGCGTCGGTGGTGGCGGGGCCTCTTCCCCTTCCTCGCAGTGGGCTGGCGTGGGACAACGACAGAGCGCGGATGCAGCCAGGGCGACACGGCGGTGGCGTCCTGGTGTGGCGGCGCGGGCGGCTGCTCGTTGGGGGCGTGGTGGGGCATGCCTGCGCGGGTGGCGGTTGTGGGCGTCCCGGCCTAGATCTGGATCGGGTAGATGCTCTAGCCGGCTACCAACAGGCGGCGCGGGCTGAGGCAACATGGGCCGGCTATCGCTGGTGGCTTTGGCTACTGGAGGGGAACAGCGTGGCGGCGTGCTCCTTGCTGGGGTGGTCTGGCGGCTCTATGGCTGTGGTGACCACGTCCGGGGAGCAGATGGGGCGGATCGATGGGTAGGTGGCGCTTGTGTTCAGTGTCGTGTCTCTGCCAGTGGTGCTGGCTTCCTCCCCTGGTTCTAAGCCGAAGCAGAGCTGCGAGTTGGGGCTCGTGCTCCGGCGGATCTGGGCAGTGCCCAGGGTGAGTCGGAGTTCGCGCTTCGGGAAGGTACGCTTGGGATCGATCCGGAAGGTGCTCGTGGGTCGTGAGGTTCCTCTCCTCGCGGGTACGGTGGACGTTGGTGGTGGTCGGGGCTCCACTACACTGTTGGGAAGATCGGTGTCAACGGCCACGGTCAAGCCGCCGTGCGAGCGGGCTCGGCGACGGCCGTCGGTCATCACAGAGTAGGGTCTTCCCCGTCCATCGGGTACGGCTGGAGATCCAGGCGTGGATGCCTCCTATTGTGGAGGCGTCCACCCATACTTTGTGGCTGATGCCGGGCTAGGAGCGAAAGGTGTCTCCTTTTCTCCTCCTTCTGTGGCAGATGCACTGTGATGTGGACGGTTGGTGAAGTCCTGGACATGAATGCCGGGGTAGCGGCCCTGGATGGCGGTCTGCATGATTGGCCCTCTGGCGGGTATCATGGTGGCGGGGATGGTATTACCTCTTGGTCGCGTGGGCGGCAAGAGGTGATGCAGCGGGTGGCTCGGGCGTGCTCTTTGTCTTTGACAGTGGCCATGCCCCAATCCGGATCTGGAAGATCTATGCTCTTCGCACTTGCCCTAGAGACCTTATGGTGACGCAGGGGAGCTGTCGAGCGAAAGCTTCACGCTCGTCGCCGATGATGATGATGCTCGCGGGCGTCGTTATGTTCTTGAAGACATCGTCATGGCGCTCCTCTCTGTGTCTGGGTTCTGGCTGAAAACATCTGTCTGTTGTAGACTCGACAATGACGACGCCTAGCGCCGTTATCCCTCCTGCGGGCGTTGTTGTGGAGCTTAGGTGTTATAGGGCTTAGCGCGATGTTGCTTTAGCTTATCCTGTACTTATTTCGGTAGCATAGTCGTGTGCATTCTGCGTGATCCGATCATCTTGGGATGGGCAGTGTTTGGGAGCCACCCATCTCCTTCTATCTTTCGGTCGTGTACTCTGATTGATTGTTGCTTTATATATAAAGCGGGGCAAAAACCTGTTTCCAAAAAAAATATTGTCCCAACAAAAATGGTCCATTGTTTCTATGAATTCTGAAGGGAAAAAATGGATCGGTGCCCTTGTTTCTTTTTCCTCTCTCATCGTTGTGCTTCTCGTCCTTTATCATGTAGGTGCAATGAACCAACTTACAAGGAGTTTGGCCACCGAGTGGGCCTCTGACAAGATTCGTGTGAATGGCATCGCCCCAGGATTTGTCACAACCGACATGCTTAAAGATGTAAGCAATGACCTAGCATATATTTTTCTTGATCAAAGAACAACACACGAATTTAATTTGATTTGGTAGCTCTGAGATAGTAAGTTCATTTTTCATTATTTTTTAAAAAAGAAGATGACCTCCGGCCTCTGCATATGAACGATGCATGCAGCCATTTTATTAGTTATTTATAAAAAACTTATAAAGTAATACATCAGGTAGTCTGAAATCATCATCTTGGCAACATCTGTCGCTAGTCTTGTCTATTTGATGAAGAGGTGCCGATTATCTGAGCCAAATACCAAACAGACATTGGACCAAAGCCTAACATCTAAAGCCAAAGGGTCCAACCAAGCCGCATTGCTGGGTCTGGAGCACACACCGGTCTGACGCACTCTCAGAGGTCACCGCCGTCGTCTTCCATCAATCCATCTCTGGAGCAGGTACTGATGCATCGACCTTGCCAGGCCTGCTGTCGACGCCACCATGGCGCCAGACAAAACCACCATCCTACACGTATCCATCAACACGCGCTTGTCACCGAAACTTCGCAGCGCCATGCCACCGAGATCCGCGGTCGGTCTTGTGGTAGATGTAACACTGCTCCTGCTCTTGTCCCCTCCAGCTAGCACTTGCTCCAAAACGATGCCCCCAGAAGGAAGAATGACACTGAAGGCGCCGTCATCGTCCGATCGGGTAGACCCAGATCTAGGGTTTCCTCGTGAACAACCCGATCGAGTTGACGTGACTTGCAACGACAATGCCTCGAGAAGGAAACGACGTCAGAGACGCCGCCATCGTCCGCCAAGACCGCAGTCAGGCACGATTTTCACCGGAAACCGCGTCGTCCCGATCTCACGGCTGGCTGGAACCGCGCGGAGCCTCGCCATGAAGACGTATGCCGCCACCAGTACTCCGACGGATATCCTCCATCTCCTCACCGGAGCCCTCATTGCGCCGCCGACCGTCCACGCGAAGAATGGACGACCGATTTGTGTGGCATCCAGATCCGCGGCCGCCGCCATGCCCACCATCGCCAGAGAACCCGCCGGTTCCCAGCGACCATGGGAGCTAGCACCGCAACCGCACGACCAAGGGCGCCACCCTGGCCGCTGCGCATGTGCTCCCCGTTGGACTCGCCCCGGTCGAGCCATGCATGAGGGTCACCGCCGCATCCAGCACCCCGGCCCCTTCGGTGCCAGGCCCGCCACCACCGCGGCCTATGCCGGTGACAGGGGCAGAGGGGAGGCCGCGTCTTGGTTGGCTGCCGGCGGCGCTGAGATCGCCCCCTAGCGGCACCCTGGGGAGGCGTCGCGAGGGGTCACTAGAGGGCTCTCTTGATGGTGTACTTACGACACTTAGACGCTCCAAGTTCACTTTACCTGAGTAGAAAAATATTTAAACATCCAAAATGATGTGGTAGTTTCATCAAAATAGCTACTCCCTCTGTCTCATAATACAAGACGTTATTATATCTAATATATGAGTAATGTTTTATATTATGGGACGGAGGGAGTTGCTCTTAACTATTTGAAGAGAGCACTAGTGATTTTATTTTTTACTATGATACTGCAAGATTCAGAGACTGTCGGTTTAAATTGATCCAATATATTATTACGGCCCAAAATTCGGGAGAGCATAATTTGATGTATTTATTCGTCTTTCCGTCTAAGATTATTTTGCAAAACGATAGCAAGTTTTCTTATCTTTTCTAAATAAATGTGGATAACAACTAGTTCTTGTGTGGATTGCACAGATAGATACAGAGTACGTGAAGGAAGAGCACTCGAAGACCCCATTGGGACGGAGCGGCAAGCCGGTGGAGATAGCCTCGGCAGTGTCATTTTTGTGTATGCCGGCAGCTTCTTTCATCACCGGCCAGATCATTTGCATCGATGGTGGTCGAACCATTAGTGCTTAGCCATCACCACCGCTCCATAAGTTATTGAATATTTGGCGAATACCACCGTGGGAGAGTGAAATAATAATAAATATAAATCAATAAATAAATAAATAATGCCAACAAATAACTCGCACCATGGTGAACGCCTTTCAAGAAATGTCACGAGATAGCATATGTGTACGTGCGCAAATTTCTGCCTAGTCTTTGTACTGAACATATGTAATGGTGATTCTAGTTAGCAACTTAATTAAGATGGATTGTAATGTCTTTTATGCCGAATGAACAAGACTCTAGTTACCCGCGAACAAAAAAATGGAGATAGCTGGAGGACTACTGTTCTTAAAATTAGATTAACTATAAGCCCCTGCTTTTCCACGACGAGAGCTTCCTCACTTGAAAACTTGAAAGGATCATAGTATACTAGAAACTGTCGCGCGCTTTGCCACGCCGTTCTTTAATTATAGGGACTACTTTTTTCATGGATGTAAATTGAGATCAAAATAACTATTTTGACCTTTCAAACAAAGTTTAGGATGATTTGACCTTCTTTTAAAAGAAAAATCTCGTATGACCATTTTTGGTGATGTCAACACCCATGACACTTGGGTCGCATGGAAAACAGCATGGTCCATGATGTTTTGACCCTAAAATTTCTCCCGTGTGACTTGGCGTCTCAGCTAGAGGACAAAACGCCACGAACCACGGGGTTTTGGACGGGTGGTAAACACCGTAGACCATGGCGTCTTCCATACAACCAAAAAGCCCTGAATGTTGGTGTCATCAAAAAAGGTTTGGAGTTTTTTCAAAAGGGGGTCAAATCATGCTAAAATATGAAAAGGTCAAAATAGTGGTTTTGTTTGCAAATTGATTGTTGGGTTGCAGACATTAATTATGCTAGACTCAGTGTTTCCCCTTGCAATGGTTTTTGTTGAAGTCGGAGTTTAGATGTGAGGGGAAAGACAATGTTAGTTACATATGACACGTGTCCCCCCCCCTCCACCTCCCTTCTGCACCCCACAGCGCATTGCCGACCAGCATCGGGTTGCTATAGGATTCTTAGAGCAACTCTAGCAGACCTCGCATCCCGCCGGCCCACAAAACGCGTTTGCAATTCGCGCAAAACCGCTTTAGCGGGCCGGCGTGGGCTGGCACAGATGCAGACCCCCAAACGGATCCGTAAAAAAGTATATTCTCGGGATATGCCTTTTTATGGGTCGGCTTCTGCGGGATCTGCTCGGGCACCACCGCGACGACCCGCAAGCAGATAAACTGCAAATCTTGTATTTGACATAAGATTTCACAAACAAGTTCAAATTCAAACGACATAAATAGTTTTACGCGCAAATAGAAGCCAAGTTCATTACGGCTAACGCAAAAGAGGGCCCTGCAAAAGGTTTGTGCCCATGTCTGGCATCATCTTGATCAATCTTCACTCCGCGCCATCGAGTCCACCTTGAAGTTTATCGGCGCCACAGAATCCTCCTCTGGCGCTTGTTCCAACTCCTACACCAAAATCATCCACATTGCCACCATATGGAGCGGAGAAAACATCACCGGAACTGTAGCACGGACCGGCCGACGCCACCATTCTTCTCTTCAAGATTTCTCTCCTTGCCATATCATGGCATGTTTTGGTGAGGTCGTCCATGTCATTGTGGTTCATTGACATGATCTTGTTCTCTTCGGCGAGCAACATGGACATTGATTTGTTTCCAGTGGCGCGTGCTCTTCTCTCCTCAATGGTAGCTTTGCGCAGCCCCTCTTCTTTGAGCAACTGCCACTTTTCTTGCTTCTCCTTCGCCTTCTTCTCGGCCAACTCTTTCTTGATCTCCAACGACTTCAACAACATCGACTCGTTGGATTGCACCATGGCATCAATCTTCTCCGTCAAGCTCGATGCTTCTTGCTCTCTCTCCTCATCTTCTTCTTGGTCTTCTTGTCGCCATCGGGCTTGTGCAAATTTCTTGGGCTATCATCATCCTCATCTTCATCTGTGTTTGTAAGTGAGCCTCTCTTTGGTGGGGATTCTTTGTCGATCAACTTCCACTTCTCGCACTTTTGGAGCAACTCCCAACAATTCTCTAGTTTGAAATTTTTGCTTTCCGAAGCTTCCATGTCCTTGTATCTATGTTGAGCAATCTTGTCCTACACAATGTGAACAAAGTGATCCAATCATTTCCCATGATGCAATATGATGATGCACAATTTGAACAAAGACAAAACAAACTCACATAGTTGGACTCCACGGTGCCACTTGGAGGTGCATTGCGTACTTGCTCCAAGCAAGCTGCCCAACGGTTGCACATATGCTTGATATTCTCCCAACGCCCTTAAAGCGACCGAAATGTGCGTGGAGTCCTATTGGATGCTTTTCCATAATGCGGAAGTATTGATCTTCAATCCTTTGTCAATATCTCTTGGAAGTTTGAGAAGTACCCGTGCATGCATCAAGAGACACCGCACTCCATGCTTGAATCAAAGCTTGATCTTCCAAGATCGTGTAGTTCTTGTTGGGGAACGTAGCAGAATTTTAAAATTTTCTACGCATCACCAAGATCAATCTATTGAGTCATCTAGCAACGAGGGAGAGGGTAGTGCATCTACATACCCTTGTAGATCACGCGCGGAAGCGTTCAAGAGAACGGGGTTGAT